TGGTTGCTCTGGGGCCTACAGTATACATGCAAACATTTATTTGCTTCAGAATGTACTACCTTAATTCCAGTGAGACATTTAAAAATTACGTGGCTCTACTATTTTCCTTTTTTATACTGTTATTATGCATATTATATCTATGTAAGAAACCCAACAATCCATTTTATTTTTTGCCATTGAAAGTAATGGTAAAAACTGCAATTACTTTTGCACCAACCTAATAATTATTAGTTTATATTTTGCTGTCTATAGAAGATGAAAGGTAAGCAAGTGTGTGTGTGTGTATATATGTGTGTGTGTATGTACTTTTTAAAATTTTAAATTAAAACAAATTTTTTGAGACAGTCTCTATTGCCCAGGCTGGAGTGCAGTGGCATGATCTCAGCTCACTGTAACCTCTGCTTCCTGGGGTTCAAGTAATTCTCCTGCCTCACCCTTCCAAGTAGCTGGGACTACAGGCATTCACCACCACACCCTGCTAATTTTTGTATTTTTAGTAGAGTCAGGGATTCCCCACGTTGGCCAGACTAGTCTCAAACTCCTTACTTCAAGTGATTTGCCCGCCTCTCCATCCCAGAGTGCTGGGATTACACGTGTGAGCCACTGTACCCAGCTGCAAGTATGTATTTATAGAGTTTGTTGTATTAACTTCCTTGCCTGTCATTTTTAATTAATTTGTTACTGTGGGTACAAGTTGCCATCTGGTATCATTTCCTTAATCCAGTACACCTTTATTCCTATCCACCTCCTTTTTGCTGTTTTCATCAAATATACACAGTTCAATATGTTATAGATTAATCAGTTAACTATGTATCTATTGTTTAATATAATTTATACAGACAGGAGGCAAGGAAATACTGGGTAGAAGAAGGCTCTTCCCTGGCAAAGGCCCCATCTTCAAGCCTGGAAACTCATGGCCCTAAATGGGAATAGACTTTCCTGTTTTCACACCCAAATGTTGCCTTTTGCCCTGCCACACCCTCCCTGTCCTGTACCCACATAAGCCCAAAACCCCAGGCTCCATGAGAAGAAGAGCAGACAGACAGAAGAGCAGCAGAATGGCAGAATGGTGCAGCAGAGAAGGAGAGAAGAGAAAGAGCATCTGAACGTTGAGAGGAGTTCAGCTGGGGATGGCGGGAGAGAAGATTGACTGCTGGATAGCCAAACTCCAGGGGAAGATCATCTTCCCACCCCATCCCCCTTTTAGCTTCCCATCCATCCTACTGAGAGCCACCTCCACCACTCAATAAAACCCCCACGTTCACCATCCTTCAAGTTCATGTTTGATCTGATTCTTCCTGGACGCTGGACAAGTACCTGGATACCAGGAGGGCACTGAGCTGGTTAACACTTAAGCTGTCTGTGGACGACAGAGCTAAAGAAGCACTGTAATGTGAATGCCCACTGGGACTTTGGGAGTCATGGGTACCCACCCCTAGATGCTACTGTGGGGCTGAAGCCCAAAAGCACTTGCTTTGGCTATTGCACCTGCCCATCTGGGTGCTCCACATCCCATAAGGGGTTTGAGTGTGTGGCAGCCAAACAGATAAGCCACACCCCTGTTTCAGGTCCTGTGAGGGGGTCAGGGAACTCTCACATTCCATAATTGCTTTTAAAACCAGTATATAAAGAAAAATCTTTTATACTTTTATATAATGTCTTTTATACTTACATTATCTTTACTGGTACACTTTGTTTTTAATGTGAATTAGAATTGCTGTCTCGGGTTGATTTCCTTCAGGCTGAACATTTGTTGCTATTTTTTTCTAAGATGAATCTGTTAGCAAATAATTCTGTGTTTCTGTGGAAGTGTTTTCATTTTGCTTTCATGTGTGAAATATTGGTTTTGCTGGATATGAGAGATTTTTACTTCTAGTGACTATTACCCCACTGCCTTCTAACTTTTATTGTTTCTGATAAGTCACTTGTTAATATTGATGTTCTCTTACTAATCATTTTTCTCAAGCTACTTTCAAGATTTTTTCCTTGACTTTGGTTTTCAGCACTTTCACTATGATGTGTCTAGATGTAGATTTTTTTCTGATTTTTCTACTTTGGAGTTCATTGAGCTTCTTGACGACTAATTTTTCCTTTATTTTGGGAGGTTACCAGTCATTTCCTTGAATTTTTTTTTTTTTTTCTGCTTCTTTCTCGTCTTTCCTTTTGGTACTCCCAATACAAAATTGTTGTGTACTTAATGGTGTTCTTTATTCTGAGGCTCTGTTCATTTATCTTCATCCTTTTTTCTCTGTTGTTTGGATTGTATTACCTCTATTTATTTAAGTGTGAGTTCATTGATTCCTCTCCAGTCCAAGCTTGTCACTGAGCTCCTTTATAAATGTTCATTATAGTTATACTTTTCAATTCCAGAATTTCTGTATTTTTAAACTGCTTAACATTAGTGATATTGTCATACCTTGCCTTACTACTTTTGAGTGTAATTTCCTCTAGTTCTTTGAACATATTTATAGTAGCTGATTCTGATTTGAGGTCTTTATCTGCTAAGTTTGATATATGGGCAGGGCCTTCTCATAGGCAGTTCCTCTTGCCTGCCCTTCCCCTCCCACCCTATCTTTGGAGGCTATCACTTTCCTATTTGGATGCATGACTTGTTTGCCTATTTGTTTATGACTTGGCTGGCCTATTTTAGTGATGTCTTTTACTTTCACAGGGAAAAGCTTCTGATGTTGCTTTTTCAGAGGGTGGACACTTGAGTATTATATAGTCATCCTGGAATGATAGTGGTTTCAGTGGGGGCTCTCTTTGACTGTCTCCTTCCCTGATCTCTATTATATTGTCTGCCTTTGATATCTCACCTAGCTGTTAAGCTTCACTCATTGTGTGCTAATGCTCACCTTTATTTTTGATAATGCCTTGAGCATATATCCCTTGTAGTCTCAGTTAAATTCTAGCCCCTTTGCAGGGGTAGTTTTTGAGGCCAGTATTGGAGGTTTGTTCCTAATCCCAGGAGAGCTTTTGTTAGCTGTGTTTTCCCCTGGCTTTCACTGGTAAACTGGCTGTCCGACAGTTTAGCTTTTTGCGCTCATGTATCTCCAGTATTCTTTTAATTGCTTACCATGATGATCTCTTTTGAGAGTACACTTAGGTTTGAATTTCCAAATAAAGCGAGTTCCCTTTGGGAGTGCTTCATAGCTCTCTACTCTCACATCCTTTGTCTTCTACTTGTGAAAAATCACCACATCACTGCTTTGAAACCGTGGGTGGGCACAGTGCACTAATTTTTTGGGAGTAAAATCGCTACTCTGACCTACATGGGGGCAGTACAAGACTCTAGTCTTTTATTTCCCCTGGTATGAAAATTGCCGTATGTGTGAGCTGGAAGAAGACTGATCAGGGCCCCAATATTCTGGGGGCATGGGTGGGAACTATGTGAAAGAGGTGGGCCTCAACCTCGTGGGCCACACTTGCATAGATTTTAGCCTCTGTGCCATAGTGTTGAGGGGCATAGGAAATGCTGGCAGTCTGCCCTTCATACTGGGAACTTGGGGTGAGGAGGCCCTATCTTTTTAGCCATTACACTGAGCTGGCTGGGGGATAGAAGAAGAAATCGGTCATGGCTCGCATACCACAGTCTGTTCTTACCAAAATTTAGTAGATTTTCTCGAATAAATGTTTCTTCATTTGCTGAATGTCCTTAGGACAATTTTCAGAGGCTTTTAATGGTTCTTAAAATACTTTTTGCTAGTTTCAATGATGAGAGAGTCTGCAGAGCCCCTTGCATTGGCATTTTGGATGTCTCATGTTCTCTTAAGCATTTTTTAACATTGCCCTGGTATAGAATTCCAAAAATATACAGTTTCAGCAGAATCTTTTTTCTGAAAGCAGCATACATGTTTGTGTGTACACGCATTTCCTTCTTATCTTCTAGCCCTACTGATAGGTATTGAGCTTGACCAGTTGACCTACCCTTCACCTACTTGGATACCGCTTCCTCTTTGTCACCCTGTGTCCTCATTTTTGCTTTTATGGTTAGGTTCCAAATTTCCACTTGAGGCACTGGAAGGGGTGACACATTTTATAAACTGTCTATTTGGCTATTCACTTTGCTTTTCAGCCAATTCCTTGGCTTTTGCAAACCAGTATGTGGACTATTTATCTTATTCAGATGTTGGTCTCATCAAGAAGACACTTGTTTTATTTGTGCACTAATTTCATATGCTGCAATCCCCATGTAGCAATTGTGTGTAAGAAAGGATGTTTTGGAGATCATATAAGGTTTGGTTAACTGCCCACCATTGAACTGTGTTTTAAAGCAGTTTCACTAAGGCAGTTGTTTTGGTAATGGCCTTCAAAACTGTATTACAATGAGACTCCATTAAAGATAAAGGGAAAAATTGTCAGACATGAAATGTCTCTTCTAAAGTTCAGATGCAACTATTAATAAGACAGCTTTCATCATAGCAATTGAAGTCAGTGGGTATTGCCTGAGGAAGCATTGCATGGAGACTGTGTTTGAAAGGAACTGTTTTTCCTCATGAATTAAAGCAAGACACAAATTAGAGCAACCCACATTGTTTGGATTGTTGAGTCTCATCTAGGGGATCTTGAAGAACTTGTTTATTTCCTTAAGTATCTAATATGTAAATCTCCTGAGGGTATATTAATATTCATTTGCAATCCATATCAATTATTTCATGATAGTCTTTCTCTGCCTCCTTCATCTTCAGGGAATACCCAGTTGGATCTTAGCATCTTTTTTTTTTAAGTGTTGACCTCAATGGCCTGTGATCAGAAGGATTTTGAACCTATAATGAAGAAAAATTTCACCTTAATGTATGCAACTGTAATACTATAAAATTGATTTTTTTTTTATCTGAAATAACCATTTGTGAACCAATCACACTTGTTCAGATGTTTTCTTAAGGTAATTTGTTGAAGGTATGAATAAGATCTATCAAAAGTGAGATATTGAATTCAGAACTTCACTTTAAAATAGCTTGTAGGTGAAATAATATATTCTTTGCCTGTTTGTTCTTTAGGCAGCAGGAGCCATTCGACCTCTTGTATCTACTGTCATCAGTCCATCTGCTGATGGTTGCTTAGACCACTCGCTAGAACGTGCCAGACACAGAGCAAGTGAAATGCCCCAAGCTTTTCTATTTGATGTGATTTATGAAGCATATCAGCAGGTAAGAATTCAGGCTCTTTGAATAAGCTGTTGTTATGTTGGGTTCCCCAAACAACCTCCATATTTGGAAAATTTCCAGAACTTATGGGACTGAGCGTATAGTTATACTCAAGGCTAAGACTTATTACAATGAAGTATTAAGGTTATACAGCTGGATCAGAAGAGAGACACACAGGCAGAATCTTTAGGAATCCATTTGCAGGCTTCTAGATGCTCTCTTCCCTCCCTCTCCTGAAGGATCATGCAAAACACACTTTCTTTCCAGCAATGAAAATGCAGCAAATTGACATTTATGCTCTCCTGTTGGAGACACAGTGCCGAGGGTGTTGGATTGGTCATGTGGATATCCTCTGCTTGGCACATACAAAAATTCCAGATTTCAAGAAGGAAAGCTGGTGTTCAGCATAAATCATATTGTTGATACCTACAGTCTAGGCAGGCACAGTGACTTGCCCTTATCAGTTAATTCCCAGATGCTGGCTGAGGGCCTGTCTTATAAGCCAGTCTTTTTAAGAACAGCAGTTTCAGATGTAAGTTATCTGTACAGCTCCTTAGACATTTTGTTAATCAAAATTTTAGTTAAAAGTAAGTAACTTAAAAATCAAGTATTTTCATTAATATTACTGGATTGCTTCTGGTTTTCATGTTTTGGAAATACTGCTGTACTTACATAATTTTACTGTCATTTGTTTGCCCATTTGAGTAAATAGTTATTGAATATCAGATATTGAGCTTGTCAGAAACTTTGCAATGAGATAAGTTTGAGTAACTAATCTAGTGCTTTAGTCAACTTGCTATAGGAGGTGAGGAAGAATTAGGTAAGAGGATAGAAGAGTGGCCATAAGGATTAGAGGGTAGTATCCCAGAAACTTAATGAAGAGAGTACTTTCTGATTGTGCTGAATCAGATGCAAGCTGATCCATGGTCATCGTAGAATGTGGCAAAATAAAAGGAGGTGTGCAGTTTTAGGTTATAGCTAACTCTTCCTCTTCAAATGGTGCTGGAAGGTCACAGATGTCTATTCTGTTAAATGTTGCCTAGGATTTCTAAAAAGTGAGGACTGAGAACTGTACATAAACATTTGCAATGTGAGATTACCAGTGTTTGATGGGCGTGGTGGATATGAAAATCTTGTTGGAATTGATCGAAGAATAGAAGGGCTGATTTTTGGAGGAACTTTTATACATATTGAGTAGAGAAATGGGAGGAGGTAGCTGAATAGTTCTACATTAAGACTGACTTTTTTCTTCAGATGGATAATAAAATAGCACATTGTTATGCTGATGAGGGTGATTCCGCAGTGAGAAGACAGTGGTAAAGTGAGAGTAGATGGGACCTACTACATTAGTGGTATTGAAGTTGACCTTGGCTGGGAATATGGGTAGTTCATCCATAGGGGCAGGAGGAAAGAGTAGGTGAAGACAGATGCAGATAGACTGGTAGATGTGATGAGAGGACTTGGAATTTGTCCCTTTTGAGGAATGAATGCAGAAAATACGTAATAGTGTTGACCATTTGGGAACTGAGCAGTGCATTAGGGTTCTCCAGAGGAACAGAAGTAACAGGATATACGTATATATGAAAAATAATTTATTAGGGAGAATTGGCTCACATAGTTATAAGGTGAAGTCCCACAATAGGCCGTCTGCAAGCTGGGGAAGAAAGAAGCTAGTAGTGGTTCAAGTAGAGTCCAAAAGCCTCAAAAGTAGAGATGCTGAGAGTGCAGCCTTCAAAGGCTGAAAAGCCTGTTGTCTGATGTCCAAGGGCAGAAGGAACAGGAGTAAGCATCCAGCACAGGAGAAAGATGATGGCCAGAAGACTCAGCAGGCCAGCTTATCCCACCTTCTTTTGCCTGCTTTGTTCTAGCTGTGCTGGCAACCAATTGAATGGCCCCACCCACATTGAGGGTAGGTTTTCCTCTCCCAGTCCACTGACTCAAATGTAACTCCCTTCTGGTAACACCCTCACAAAGACACCCAAAAACAATACCAGCTATCCAGGCATCCTTTAATCAAGTTAATACAATATTAACCATCACAAACAGATATCTGGCAATTGTAACCAAGGTGTCATATGAAGTTGAGTCAGTTGGAAGATACCCATTTCAAGGTGATCCGTGGTCACTGTAGAATGTGGTAAAATAAAAGGTGTGCAGTTTTAGGTTATAGATAACTCTTCCTCTTCAAATGGTGCTGGAAGGTCACAGGTGTCTAATTGCCATTCTATATGCTGACTGGCTGGATTGCTTCTTCTCCCTGTTTCTTCTGGCTTATCTCATTTGTCCCCTTATATATGCTCTAGCCATGTTCACTTTAGTTCTTCAAATACAAGATTCCCACTATCAGAAAGTTTACATCCCACCTTGCTACTTATTATTTAGTTTTCCTATAATTATCATTTATTCAAGGAATTCTTTCCTGTCTGGCCACACCAGGTTAGGCTGACCCATTCTGTGTTCTTCTAGTGCCTGTTTTTCTTCTCTCCCCAGCATCAGACTGATAATTGAATAATTGCTTGAAGCCATTTGTGAAATGTCAAACTCCTCTGCTAGGCTGTGAGCCCTATGAAGGCAGGGATGGTACCTGTCTTGTTCTTAGCAATCTGCTTGGTATATTACTAATACCAAGTATATATATTCGTTCAAAGGAATGATCATAAAAGGCTGTGCATATATTTTTAAAATGGTCCACATACTTGCTCTTCCTCTGCCTAGGCCACTCTTTACAGATCTAAAACTGCTTATTTCCACTCTGTTTTTTTTTTGAGATGGAGTTTCACTCTTGTTGCCCAGGCTAGACTGCAATGGCACAGTCTCGGCTCACTGCAACCTCTGCCTTCTGGGTTCAAGTAATTCTCCTGCCTCAGCCTCCCAGATAGCTGGGATTACACGTGCCCGCCAACATGCCTAGCTAATTTTTTGTATTTTTAATAGAGATGAGTTTCACCATGATGGCCAGGCTGGTCTCAAACTCCTGACCTCAGGTGATCCACCTGCCTTGGCCTCCCAAAGTGTTGGGAGTACAGGCGTGAGTCACCACACTCGGCCTATTTCCACTCTTTATTGAGGTCTGTAGCAAACATCACCTCCTCAAAGAAGTCTTACCTGATAATCTTATAATCTTAAAGTAGCAGCATCTATCATGTATCCCTTTTTCTGGTATAAGAATCACTACTCCTGCCCACTTTTGTTTTCCGTTTGGTTTGCATGCAATATGTTTTTCCACCTCTTTACCTTAAGTTTATTTCGGTAAGGCTCTTGAAGACAGCAGATACTTGGTTGGTTTTATCCATTCTGCCATTCTGTATCTTTTAATGGAGGATTTAGGCCATTTGTATTCAATGTTACTACTGAGATGTGAGGTACTGTTCTATTCATCATGTTAGCTCTTACCTAGGTACTTTTTTTCATTGTGTTGTTGTTTTACAGACCCTGTGAGGTTTATGTGGAGGAGGTTCCATTTTGATATATCGAGCTTTTGTTTCAAGATTTAGAACTCATTTAGCATTTCTTGTAGTGCTGGTTTGGTAGTAGCAAATTTTCTCAGCATTTGTTTGTCTGAAAAAGATTTTATCTTTCCTTCATTTATGAAGCTTAGTTTGGCTGAATAGAAAATTCTTGGCTGACAATTATTTTGTTTCAGGAGGCTAAAGATAGGACCCCAATCCCTCTGGCATGTAAGGTTTCTGCTGAGAAATCTGCTGTTAGTCTGATAGGTTATTCTGCTGAGGTGCTGTAACGGCCTGTGTTGTTTGGCTACCAGCCAGGAGGTGGTGCTTCCAAGAGAGCAGCAGCTGTGGTATTAGCAGTGGGATTTGAGCTTGCCTTGAGTTGCCATGGGGAAGTATTCTGGCTTCTCAGGAGATGAGTGGGGCCATAAAGTTCCCAAAAGTTTGTCCTTTGTGTTAAGCTACCAAGGTGGATGGAGAAATACCACCAGGTAGGGGCAGGGTTAGGTGGGTCTTAGCTCAGACTCTCCTTGGGTGGAGGCTGCCATGGCCACTGTAGGGAACAGGTGGTTCTTCAGCCACTGTGGTAGTGTTTCAGGGAGGAGTATAACTGCCTCTGTTGTGCAGAAGAGTTCACAAAGTGAGTAGGAAGTAGCAGGCCGCAGTAAGCCTTACCCGGCTCCCACATAATTGGTGAGGCCTGTGTTACTCCCATAGTGCCCTGCTAACAGCACCACATGTAGATCTGGGCAGCCTGCACACAGGACTCAAATCTGCCCCAGGCCATTAGATTCCCTGCAGAAATAGCAACCATGGCTTTCAGACCATGTTCCTCCCCATCTGCCCACAAGGCTGGGCACCCAGATCCTGCACTCCTATCTGTGGCACACTTCCAACTTACCCTTGGGTTCTGTTCAAGGGAGTTTATCCCCACTTGAGATTATATCACAGAATTCAGTTGGGAGCTTCTTTCACCCTGAAACCCCTCCCTGAGTTCATTGGCTAACTTCCCTGAGGGATGCTCTGAAATATAGTCAGGAATGGCTTCCCTTGGCTAGTGCTGGAGACTGGGAATGCCTGCAAGGGACTTCCTGCTATTGCTTCTACTTTTATATTTCACACCACTCCCTAAATCCAGTCCAGCTATGGGTAGGGTTAAGGCCTTCTCCTGTGGTCTGGATTTTCACATTCCCTCATGGGGATGTAAGATTGGAGGCAGGCTTTCCCCCTCTCACATCCTGGATGCTTAGAGTTTTTCACCTGTCTTCACAGAGTAGTCTGCAGCCTGCCACTTCTTTCAAAGGGTCTGTGGATTCTTTTGGTTTTTCCTATTAAGTTCCTATTGTGGTTCTTGGGGAAAGAAAATCACAGTGTAAATCTCTACTCCCTATTCTGTCCTTCCAAGTGGGCTAGTCACACTAACACTGCCTGCTATCTGCCACCTTGGGGGCAAAAAAAAGATCATACTTTGTTCTGCTTTAGTTTGCTTCTTAGATATCACTACCTGATATATCTTTTTTGGTGTGTATCTTTCCTATTAAAACCTCAGTTCTG